GACAATCTTCCTGGAAGCATACTGGAAGGAGAAAGGGCGGTGCCTCTGAAGGGCCCTGGTCGAAGCACTTGGGTCACGGTCACCATGCCAACCCAAAGGGAGTAGTGCATGCATGCGATGGCTGCTGTCCTGTTTGGCACTTGCTGCGCTGATAGAAGTTCCTCCGGGTGTGCCAGCCCATGACAGACGCTCACCAGACCGTCTATAAATATTTCTGGTTGGGAGTTCATTGTGAATCTGGCTGTGATCGTCGTCCTGACTGCGACGTTAAATAATCCCTGAAGAGATGGGGGCGCTCTATAAATCCCTTCTGATCAGCCAGATCACATGGACAGGAAGGCTCGTCGCCGTACGAGGGTAAATAAGAGTGGTTGGGTTGGCTTGCTCGGTGACAACTTGGGCACACGGGTGGGCCGATTCACACACGAAGACACTGCTCGCTCAAAGATGCTATTCGGTATGTTGGATGGAGGGGAGGGTAGGTTCTAATTGGTGCTGAACTGTATACACAACCATACCCATCAATCATACATCTGCTACATTGTCTTTTTGTACCTTTGATTAGTTGGTTGACGGACTGCTAACCTCACAGACAGAATTAGTGTAGGACTGTAGTATGCTACCATAGCCAGTTCTAACTAATGCTGGTGTAAGTGAACCATTCAGGGTGCATCTAGACAATGTAGACAATCTGTGTGAATGTTGTAGACATGCCACTTGATTCGGTATAGTAGGATACTCGCCGGACACAACTATTGTTAGAAAATTAGGTGCCGGTCAGATACATGTTGTGGTTGGATTCCACTAGGGGATTCTAGTGCAGAAACTACTTGCCTGACCAATGAGTGGATCAGATCCTGCTGATGATAGAGTTGACAATAGGAGACTTACACGTTTGGAAGCATTAAGGGTTCCGCACGTGTTCAGGACCTTGGACGAGGGAGAAGAAAGACGGCTTCGTGCCGAATGTAGAGCCCGTGCTCTAGCAGCACGACTACAGGAAGCAAACAAAGTAGCAAGAGAGCGGGCAACAGCAACCAGAGCAGCAGCAATGGCTAATGGTACCAACTCTGCTGCATCATCGTCTGCGTCCTCGTCAGGGACTACTGGGCCTCAGTTGGGAATGCCACTGAGATCCACGAGTTCCTCGGGCACTTCCGGTTCAACAGGGTCTAGACAGTCTTCTAGTCAAATGGCGGGCTCGCAGTTCAGCTCGTTGACTCCACGTGAGAGGGAGCTCAGAGAGATCCAACAGGTCGAAAGGCTTCGCCAGTAGTTAGAGGAGGATCTGAAAAAAGCAACCGATAGAGAAAAAGAGATAAAAAGTAGAGCAGCCAGACTTGATACGTTAGAGGCTAACAAGGCTGCGTTAGAGGGATTGGACGAATCGAGCTTGTCTGACACCCTGAAAGTGTTGAGGGACAACATGTTGTCACTGCATGCGCACGTAGACAGCAGGATGGATTTCATGCAAAGCATTTTGGACCAGATCCTGGATGCATTGACAAAGCCAGGATTCCGGCCACCAGCTCAATCGCCGTTGCCATTAACGGCGATGTCAGGCCCCTTTGCCGTACAAGCTGGCACACAGCCAAGTGGCACATCTGCAGCAGCAGCACAGACTGTTGCATCTTCTTCTTCGGGTCCAGTGGTGATTGCTGCATCMCCACAACAACCTGTTCAGCCAACTGGACAGCCGCAAGGTCAATGGTATCCCAAGACCCCAATGAAACCGCCTCTTGCCTTCTCAGGCGAGAGAAAGGACAAAGAACTCAACACATGGTTGAGGACAGTCCCGGTTTGGGTGAAGGCCAAAAGGACCTTGCCTGAGGATGAAGTGGTAACTGCGGCATCTTACCTAGAGGGTAAGGCAGCCAAATGGTTAGATGGAGTAGTTGTGAAGGCCGGGTACGGGCGACGCATGGCGGATTGGGCTAAGTCTTTGACTTTAGACCAATTCATGGAGATGGTAGAAGCTCGATGGCATAACCCACAGGAGGCTCAAAGGGCCACTGATGCCATTAATAAACTAGACCAATGCAAGTTCAGGTCAGTTAGGGAGCTTACGACTACCGTTGAGAGCCTGATCCTCGTCCCAGGCATCAACTACAGTGACCAGTTCCTCTTAACTACGTTTGTTAGATGTCTACCTGAGAACATGAGGAACTTACTAGCCAGTGAGGCACGCACTGAGTACCACTCGTTTGAAACATTGTCTAGGAAAGCCTTAGACTTAGAGGCCACGCTAGGCAATGCTTAACCCACTTTAGGGAATGACTCAAAGAAGAAGAAGAGTCCTCAGGAGTGGAAGAAGAAGGGGGCAAAGTTGATGATGGTTGAGTCTGATGGGACTCAAACTGAGATTGATGACCTCTCTGACCTGATGGACTACTCAGAGTATGACGGCGAGGAGGTAGCTGAGGGTAGCACCCTTGCCGCGGTAGTAAAGACTAAGGCAGGTGGCCGAGGGAAGGGCCAACCTAGGAGTCAAGGAAGGCCACCTCCAATCAGACCAAACAGTCTGAGTGGGTAAAGGCAGGTCTTGATCAAGACGTGTGGCGTGACCGCCGAATGCGTGGCGCTTGCATCAACTGCGGAGAATACGGACACACGCAGTGGAAGTGTCAAAACGCTAAGGTTACGCAAAAGGTTGCTCCAAAAGTAGGGACAACCTATTCCCAGCCTTCTAGCTCGGGAAACGCGTAGGGCCAGTGGAAGTAGTAGCGGCTTCTACTCAAGATGAAGTGGGATTGATACCCTCCTCACTTCATGACAAGGCCGAAGCTAATGACTCCTTAGTCACCCCGCAGACACAACTAGACCAAACTATGCTCTGTACGTTAGATGTGTCTGAGGCCTTAGAAGACTTAGAAGGCGAGTGGTCAAACAAGAACCCTCGCGAGTCTTGGGTGGCGCTAAAGAAGGGTCCTAAAGGGGAACATTTCGTGGTGGAAGTGGATGTAGGAGGCCGCAAATGTGGAGCCTTCATAGACAACGGATCCACGCGAAATTACATAAGTTGCGATTGTTTGGAAAGGCTGCACCTACAGGACCGAGTACGGCACCTTAATAGACCAGTAGCATCTACTTTGGCCAACAAAGAGTGCATGATTGTCACAGACTACATCAAGGACGTAGTCTGTACCTTCTCCTATGGAGGAGGAGAGCTTAACCATAAGATCTCGTTCTTGGTTAGCGACGACCTGCCATTCAAAATGTTGTTAGGCATGTACGAAGTTGCTAAGCCCCAGTTCGACTGGGATAAGAAGGTGCTTAAGCACAAGTTGCCCGATGGCCGAACTGTCAGATTGACTAAGTTCAAGGCCAACAGTATTGTAGATACCTATGGCTGCTTGTGTGCATAAGCGTTCTATAACTACTACAAGCAAAACCAAGAGGAAGGTATGTACCTCGTTTATGTCTCTGAGAAGGGGGAGGCCGTTTAAACACCCCCAGAGATAGAACGCGTCGTTGCTAAGTTCCTCGATCTATTCGAGGAGCCCACAGGAGTTGTTGATAGGGAAGCCGTCCACGCTATAGAAATCATTCCAGGGAGTAAGACCCCAAAGGGAAGAATCTATAGGATGGCCCCTGCCGAGTTAGATGAACTTCGGAAGCAACTCAAGGAGCTGACAGAGAAGGGATGGATTCGGCCTAGTACTTCCCCTTATGGATCACCTGTGCTATTCGTACCGAAGAAGGGGGGTACATTGAGGATGTGCATTGATTATAGGGGCCTCAATGCCATCACTGTGAAAAACGCAGAGCCTCTACCTCGCATAGACGACCTATTGGATAGGGTGCAGGGATGCAAGTACTATACAAAGATAGACTTGAAATCCAGATATCACCAGATCGCAATAAGACTTGAGGACCAACACAAAACAACTTTTGAGACTAGATATGGTCTGTATGAGTTTGTAGTGATGCCTTTCGGTCTTTGTAATGCGCCGGGTACGTTCCAGCACGCTATGAATTGAATCTTCCATGACCATTTAGATAAGTTTCTCGTGGTCTACTTAGACGACATTCTGATCTTCAGTAAGTCTGTCGAGGAGCACGCACAGCATGTTGAGACAGTTCTCTCACTCCTGCGACAACACATGTATAAGGTCAACTTAGAGAAGTGCGAGTTTGGCCGCACTAAGATACTATACTTGGGTCATGAAGTATCCGCGGAGGGAATTAGGCCGGAAGATGCGAAGGTGGCTAGTATTCGAGACAGGCCACGACCTCAGACAATCACTGAGGTTAGATCATTCTTAGGAATGTGCGGCTACTATAGGAACTTCGTCAAGAACTATTCTACAGTCGCCTCTCCTTTGACTGATCTAACTCGACTTGACACACCGTGGGACTGGAGTGATGAGTGCGAGAGTGCTTTCAAGAGATTGAAGCATGCACTCATGAATCATGAAGTTCTCATGGTTCCTGATCCGCAAAAGCCATTCATAGTGACCACTGACGCAAGCCAATAAGACATTGGCGCAGTGCTGGCTCAACAGGATGGGAAAAAGTTGAGACCGATTTTGTACATGAGTAAGAAGATGCCATCGAAGAAGTTGGCTAAGTCCACCTACGAAAGGGAACTCTATGCTCTCTACAAGGCACTTGTCCATTGGAGACACTTCCTTTTGGGAAGGTTCTTCTATCTGAGGACTGCTCATCAGACCCTCAAATGGATCAAGACTCAACCGGCTCTTTCTGATGCACTCAAGCGATGGATTGAGGTCATAGACCAATATGACTTCAAGCTTGAGTACCTAAAGGGAGAGTATAACAAGGTTGCGGATGCGCTATCCCATAGAGCAGACTACCTAGGTGCGCTGGTTTTTGAATTTGGCGTATCTAATGAAGTAACTCAATCATTGGTGGGAGCCTATCAGGAAGACCTTGTCACGATGGACATCATCCGCAAACTTCAGGCAAAAGACAAGGCCACAGAAAGTGAGTTTGTGATGGTGGATCTATCTTGATAAGGCTGGAGTAAAGAGATTGGTAGTTCCATCTAGTGAACAGTTGCGTAATTTATTTTTAGGAGAATGTCATGACGCAACTGGGCACTTTGGCTATAAGAAGACGAGTGCTAACTTAGTACAACGATTTTGGTGGCCCAGAATGTTAAATGACGCGAAGAAGTATGTTGAGACCTGTCAGGTCTGTCAGCGGGACAAGCCGCGAACTCAAGCACCGCTTGGGTTATTGAAGCCTTTACCTATTCCTGATCGTCCAGGATTGAGTGTTTCCATGGATTTCATGGACACTCTTGTGACCAGCAAGAGTGGTAAGAGGCACATTTTCGTCATCATTGACAGATTCACCAAGTACGCTAGACTAGTACCAATGCCAGA